TTTTGAAGCGCCAGCTGATGCTTCACCCATCGACGCCCGAAAAGCCATGGAACTTGATTTTGTATTCTGACGAAGTCACACCAGGGAACCCCTTATCACCAGCCAACCAGCGAAAATTCCAATCTATTTATTGGAGCTTCTTGGAATTCGGCGTGAGCGCGCTCAGTCACGAGGAGAGCTGGTTTGTGCTGATGACTGAATTCTCCTGTTCTGTGAATTCCCTCTCTGCTGGGTTAAGCCAAGCATTCGCTGAGGCTATTAAATGTTTTTTCAAGCCTGATGGCTTTCATTTCCAATACGGTGGAATGACCCTTGACTTAGACGGGGATAGCTTCAGGCTGTTTGCTAAAGTCGGCGTGGTGTTGCAAGACGGGGGCGCTCATAAAGCTGTTTGGCAAGCAAGGGGCGACGGCGCGTCCAAGTTTTGTATGCTTTGTAAGAATATGTTCACAGCAGACTCAAGGGTTGTTGACGAAGATGGCTCAGCCATGCTGCGTTGCAACGAAATACATCTCGATGAGCTCGTGGCGTCCACTGACCATGAGCTTCGCACCAATGCCAGGTATCTGGAGCGCATGTCGCGGACTCTGTCTAATGAAGAGTTCGTTCTGTTGCAGCAAGCGCTGGGTTTAACATTTGCCAAACGAGGCTTGCTGCTCGATAGAGCCTTAGACAGGCTGATCAACCCAACAGAGGTGTTTATGCATGACTACATGCACGCGCTGTTCGTCGACGGTGTTGTGAATCTCGTGATCTACCTAACTTTCGAAGAGTTCATATCTGCTGGGCTTAATGGCGTATGGGAGTCATTCTCTGAGTTCTTGGCAACTTGGGTGTTCCCTGGAAGATTTCACGCTACGCATTTAGACAGCATTTTCAATGCTGATCGGAAAGATAAGCACAGAAAGGCCCAACACGTAAAATGCCAGGCGTCTGATTTATTGTCTATTCTTGGCGTTCTGATGCTATTCACTCAGACGGTCCTGCGACCTATGGGGGCAGCCAATGCAGCTTGCGACGCTATGATAGCTTGCGTTCAGCTGTCGCAGCTGGTAGTTGCAACCAGTCGGATCGACGTGAGCCCAGCGAGGCTTCTAGGTTGCGTTCATAAGTTCTTGGAATATTTCACTGCTGCTTTTGGATATGAGTCCCTGACACCAAAATGCCATTGGCTTCTCCACCTCCCTGAGCTACTCGAAAGAAACGGGAGGCTCTTGAACTGCTTCGTCCTTGAGAGGAAGCATAGAATGCCAAAGAGATACGCCACCGAACTGGCGAACATCTCTGGGTCAGCCAGCAAGTCGTTGCTGAGCGAATGCGTTGCCCATCACCTGTCAGCAATAACGAGCCACAGTTTCAATTATGGCGTCGGCTTGTTGCAGGGCCGCAAGGCGCCCAAGAAGAGCAGGCAGCTGATCTTGGACGCATTGGGTTTGGAAGGTGATGATATCCAAGTGAATGTGGGTAAAGATTCTCGCTTTAGCCAGCTCGGCTTATGCGCGCAAGGGGACGTTGTGCTTTTGAACGGCTCCGACGGCATACTTGCCGCCCGCGTGAAGTTGCATTTCGAGGTCAGTGGAGAAGCTGTTTCTATGATGGAGGTTATGGAACTTTCGCGGCGCATCCCTGGTACTGCAAAGGCAGTGTGGAAACTTTCTGCGACTCCAGTGGAGTGTTGGGAGACCAAAGCCATTTTGGCTGCAGTAGAACACTGCGCGTACGCAGACGGCACCGTCGGCACTATCCTGCCATTGGAGTTTTCATGATGGGATTTGCTGGCGCTTTGCGCTCAGGAGAAAAAATCGCATACGCTTCGCGTAGCCCCACCGCACAGCCCATCCAGAAACGATGTCTGCGCATTAAAGCCATTGCGGCTGAATGCAGATGAGAAATGAGGGGGGTCTTCTGCTCCGCTCCTCCTCCTCCTCATCATCATCCTTCTTGCTCCTTCTGCATCCTCCTCCTGCAGGCGCCTGCTGCTGCTGTCCTCCTCCTCCACCCCAAAGCGGCATGCTGAAACCGCGGGGCCCTGACGACGACCACGACGACAGATGGAGATGCAGAGACGACATTCGGCGGCGGACCTGGTGCTACGCGCCCGCCCCTATGTATGCGGTGTAACCTATGTGGATGCAACCTATGTGGTGTATTATGTGCTATGGTACAACCTATGTGGCGCATGCTAAGCGGTGCAACAACTTATGTAGTATGCGGTGCATCCTACGCGGTGCAACCTGCGTAGTGCAAGCTGCTGCGAGAAGTAACACAAGAACTTCTGATAGCATCGCATTTTTATGGCTTGTTAAAGCGAACGCTAAAGTTTATAAAGTTTATAACTCTGTTTTGGATAACTGCTGATAAACTTTATAAGTCCGCTAAACTTTAGCTAAACACTATAAACCTTAACAAACCAAGGATGCATCTCAGTAGGAGAGATGACGTCGGGCTCCAGCTTCGCCTCCCATGTCTCGCTCAGCAGCGCCAGCGCCCGCTGCCACTGCGCGCCCTTCTCGCACGCGCTGATCCCAGCGCTGTAGCTGATGATGATGATGATGATGATGATGATGATGATGATGATGATGGTGGTGATGATGATGATGATGGTGGTGGTGGTGGTGGTGATGGTGATGGTGGTGGTGGTGATGATGATGATGATGATGACGATGATGATGATGATGATGATGATGATGATGATGATGATGATGATGATGATGATGATGATGATGATGATGATGATGATTGTGATGATGACTAGGGCTGACCCGCGGCCTTCTGGCCGCGGAATCTGCCCGCCATGGTGTGGACGTGGGGGCAGAAAGCCCGCGGGTGGGGCCGCCTTGGGAGCATCTTTGCTTATGTCGGGCGTGTCCCCCTGCAGGGGGGCTTTCGACGAAAAAAAAAGAATACCCCAAAAATGCTCCAAACAGGTAAAGAATACTAAAAAAATAGTCCCCAGACTATTTGTGTATTATTTTTTGGATTATGTCTGAATGTTCTTTATTTTCCATCGAAAATCCCCTTGTAGGGGGACAGGCCCGACTGAAATCTTTGCCCGTCGTGGGCCATCTTGGGGCCGTTGTGCGGCCTTCTGGGCCCCTCTTGGGACTCTCTGGAACTGTCTCGAGTGCCCCCTTGGGCCGTGTGGGGGCCGTCTGGGGCCTCTCTTGAAGGCGCCACTGGGGCCGTCTTGGGGCCGTCTTGGGCCGTTTGGGGCCGCTCTTGGGGCCGTTCTGGACGCCTCTGGGGCCGTCATGGGCGAGTCAGGAGCCGTTCTGGAGCAGCCCTGGTTCGTCTTGGGGCCGTCAAGTCATCGGCCCGCCCGGCGGGGCCTGAGGTCCTATAGCCCCACAGTTTTTTCGTCCTGGTCAGGCTTCCCCGGGCTGTCCGGTGGGCTGCGGCGGCTGGGTTCAAGCTGCGCCCACCACCTGCGCGGGGCGCGTCGTCGGAGGTCAGTCGGCGCCCTCGCCGCCCTCGGACGTCGGTCGGAGTGTGCGTGGGGGAAAGCCCGCAGCTGGGGCCGTCTTGCACCTTGGCCCGTTCTGGACCATCCTGGCACCGTGTTGGGCCATCCTGGGGCCGTCTTGGACCGTCTTGAACCGTCTTGGGGCCGTCTTGAATATCTTCCGCCCTGACTGGTCTGGCCCCCTCCCCGCCCCTGGGGTCGAGGTATTCATCTTTCAAAGCGCACCTCCACCCCCCGGGTGAGGGGAGCCTGCAGCCGGGGCCGTCTTGGGAGCATCTTGGCCGTTTTGGAATATCTTGGCGACGTCTCGTGTGCCATCCCAAGGCCGCCGTGGACCATCCTGGGTCCGTCTTGTACCGTCTCGGGACATCCTGGTGCCGTCTTGGACCGCTGACACATATTGAGGCGTGTTCCAGAGCCTTCTGGGGGCTCTGTCGGGGGCTGTGCACGGCGCAGCATATGACCACGGAGTATGGCATGACTCCGCGTAACGTAGCGTAGCGCACCACAGCTCGGAACAGCCGAACATGTCATTGCGCCACACGGAGTCGGCGGAATGGCAGTTTACATCCGTCCCGCCCAGACGTCCTCCCGATGATGCTGGTTGGCGCGGGTGGTGTCAAGGCGTGCTGCTGCTTCTGTGCTGCTGCTGCTTCTCGCCGCTGGTGTTTGCTGCTGCTGGATCCTCCGCCTCCTCCTCCTCCTCCTCCTCCTCCTCCTCCTCCTCCTGCCTTCGATCCTTCATCCCCTCGATCGTCGATCGTCAATCGTGGATCCTACGACAACGCCCCCCCCCCAAGAGAAGCCTCCAGGGCCCTAGGAGCGAGGCATGCGAAGAGCCTCACGGCTCTCGTCCGCCTCTCCGCTATTGGAAGCAGTTAGGAAGCCTCCAGGGGGCTTCTTCGGGGCCGCTTGGAGGCATCGTGGGGCCTCCTTTGGTACTCTTGGGGGTCTCTTGGGGCCGTCTTGGGCGCCTTTTTGGCCGTCTTCGGCTGTTTGGGACGTTCTTGGGCGCCTCTAAGGCTGTCTCGGGCCCGCCTTGGGCCGCTCTTCGGGCTCTTAGACTGTCCTGGGAGCCTCTTGGGCTGTCCTGGGGCCGCCTTGGACCGTCCTGGGGCCCCATGGAAGTCCTCTGGGGCGTCTTGGGGCGATCTTGGGGGCCAAAATTTCCGTACGGATTGGGGCGACTCTTGTTTCTGGGAGCCCTCTTGGACGTCACTTGGAGGGACTTGGAGGCCTCTTGGGCAGTCTGGAAGCACGTCTGAAAGTCCTGAAACTATCTCGGGGCCATCTGGGTCCCATCTCGGCGCTACCTGGAGGCGTTCTGACGCGCGCTGGAGCCGCCCGCAGGCGCGCCGGAGCCGCGCCGGGGCGCGCCCGGTACGTGCCGGGGGCCCGCCGATACCGATTTCGCACATTTGGGAACTTGACCTTCCCGCACGTGCTGGTGCCGGCCATATAGGAGAGATGGCGTCGGGCTCGAGCTTTACTTCCCGCATCTCGCTCAGCAGCGCCAGCGCAGGCTGCCACTGCTCGCCCTTCTCGCACGCGCTGATCCCAGCGTTGTAGCTGACTAGGGCAGACCTGTGGACTCCGTCCACGACATCAGCTCGACGTGGCGAGGGGTCTCTGGGCAAGCGCGGGGGGGTGCGGCTGCAGGGCCGAAAGGCAATCATGATGGCGTCGGGCTCCAGCTTGGCTTTCCATTTAGGGCTTCGTGGGGGCCGTTTGGGGATCTCTTTGGGCGTTTTTGCCTGCGATATGCCTGTCGCCTCTCGTCCGCTCCCCCGCTCCTGGAGGGAATTCTGAAGGCACTGAAGGCTTTGTGGGGGCCGTTTCGGAGCCTCTTCGGCCTTCGTTTGGGCCTCCCGGGGGGCTCTTAGGGCCCTCTCGGGCCGTCTTGGGTGCCTCTTGGGCCGTCTTGGGGCCGTCTGAGACCCGCCTCGGCGCCTCTTGGGCTGTCGTGGGCCGTCTTGGGCCGCTCCTGGGGCCGTCTTGGGTGCCTCTTGGGCCGTCTTGGGCGCCTCCTGGGCCGTCCTGGGGCCGTCCTGGGGCGTCTTGGGACCGTCTGGGGGCCCTCCTGGCCCGTCTTGGGGCTCTCTTGGGGTCCTCTTCGGCCGTCTTGGAGCGGTCGGGGGGGCTTCTTGGGCCGTCTTGGAGCGTCGGGAAGCCGACGAGGCGAGGAGGCCGAAAACATCGAAAAACACAGTAGAAATCGACGATTTCTGTCGCTCGGGGCCCTCTTGGGAGGCCTCTTGGGAGGCCTCTTCGGGCGTCTTGGACGCCTCTTGGGCCGCCTGGGGCGAATCTCGGGCGTCTTGGGCCCATCTTTAAGCGTGCCGGGGCTCTCCGGGGCCGTCTTGGGGGCTTCTGGGGGCCCTCTCGACGTGTCCTGGAGCCTGCCTGGGCGGCCCGGGGCGGCCCAGGGCCAGCCCGGGGCGGTTTTGGTGCATTGGGGCCTGCGCCATTCTGGCACGCACTGGGCCCTGCAATGTAGTAGAGACTAGGGCAGACCTGTGGACTCCGTCCACGACATCAGCTCGACGTGGCGAGGGGTCTCTGGGCAAGCGCGGCGTGCCTGTCGCCTCTCGTCCGCTCCCCCGCTCCTGGAGGGAATTCTGAAGCCACTGAAGGCTTCGTGGGGGCCGTTTCGGAGCCTCTTCGGCCTTCTTTTGGGCCTCCCGGGGGGGCTCTTAGGGCCCTCTCGGGCCGTCTTGGGTGCCTCTTGGGCCGTCTTGGGGCCGTCTGAGGCCCGCCTCGGCGCCTCTTGGGCTGTCTTGGGCCGTCTTGGGCCGCTCCTGGGGCCGTCTTGGGTGCCTCTTGGGCCGTCTTGGGCGCCTCCTGGGCCGTCCTGGGGCCGTCCTGGGGCGTCTTGGGACCGTCTGGGGGCCCTCCTGGCCCGTCTTGGGGCTCTCTTGGGGTCCTCTTCGGCCGTCTTGGAGCGGTCGGGGGGACTTCTTGGGCCGTCTTGGAGCGTCGGGAAAGCCGAAGAGGCGAGGAGGCCGAAAACATCGAAAAACACAATAGAAATCGACGATTTCTGTCGCTCGGGGCCCTCTTGGGAGGCCTCTTGGGAGGCCTCTTCGGGCGTCTTGGACGCCTCTTGGGCCGTCTGGGGCGAATCTCGGGCGTCTTGGGCCCATCTTTAAGCGTGCCGGGGCTCTCCGGGGCCGTCTTGGGGGCTTCTGGGGGCCCTCTCGACATGTCCTGGAGCCTGCCTGGGCGGCCCGGGGCGGCCCGGGGCCAGCCCGGGGCGGTTTTTGGTGCATTGGGGCCTGCGCCATTCTGGCACGCACTGGGCCCTGCAATGTAGTAGAGACTAGTGTGAACCCGTGGATTAAATCCACGGCGTGCTGAGCCTTGGACTCGCACGCCGTAGGCGACCAGCTCGTCGAAGTGGAAGGGCTCGGGCGTCCCTCGGGCAGGCGGTAGGGGCGACTTTCGGAGGCATATGTGTGGTCACGTTTGACGGCAATGGTTGGGGGCCAGGTTTGGGGGCGTCGGGGGGCTACTCGTTGGGGCGACGTTCGGGGGCCACGCTTACTGGGGCCGGAGGGGCGACCTTCGGAGGCTTTCTGTGGGGGCCGCCTTTGGGGGTCCCGCTCGGGGGCCACGCGTGGGGCCGACGTTTCCGGGGCCACGTCTGGGGGCTACCCCGGAAAGCAGTCGGGGGAGCTCCAGGGGCACCGACCTGGAAGCATGAGGGAATGGGGTTTTGCTAGTCGCGCCGGGCCTGGGGGCGACTAGCAAAAACACATGGCTTTTCATGCATAGTCAGAATGAGGGGAACACGTTTGCGGGCCTCAGTTGGGGGCCGCGCAGGGAAGTCTTGGGGCCATCTTGGGGGTCTCGGGCCGTCTCGGAGGTCGTTTTCGGCCCTCTTGGGCAGCATCTGGGGCTCTTCTTGGAGCGTATTGGGGCCATCTTGGGGGTCTCGGGCGGTCTCGGAGGTCGCTTTGGGCCCGCTCGGGCGGGATCTGGCACCCGGTTGGGGCGGACCTGGGGGTCAGTTGAAGCTCTCGTGGTTGGCCTCTCGGGAGCCTCTGGGAGACAGTTTGGGGGCTTCTTGGTAGCAGTTTGGGGGCGTCTTGGGGCCTCTTGGGCCCTCTTTGGGGGCCTCTTGGGGGCCTTTTGGGGCGCTTGGCGGCCTCTGGGGGGCCTCTTGGAGCCTCTTTGGGGCGTCCTGGGGCCTCCTGGAGATGTCTTGGGAGCGTCCCGGCGTTTCTTTAGGGCGTCTTGGGGCTTCCTGGAGGCCTCTTGGGGTGGAGGCCTCGATTTTTCGGTTCCGGGTCCCTGTCTTGGGCCCCTCTTGGGGGCCCTCTTGGGCCGTCTTGGGCGACTCTTGGGCCGTCTTAGGGCCCTCTTGGGCCGTCTTCAAGGCCTCCTGGGCCGTCTTGGAACGGTCTTGGGGCCTCTTGGGCGGTCTTGGAGCGTCGGAAAGCCGAAAAAGCGAGAAGGCCAAAAACATTTTAAAACAAAAAACAAAGAAAATCAAACAATCATCTGCGGCCCCTCTTGGAGGTGCACTTCGAGCGCTCTGGGGGCCTCGTGGAGGCGTCTCGGGTCGTCTTGAAGGCGTCTTAAAGCCATCTTAAGCGTCTCGGATACACTCTTGGACCGTCTTGGGCCGTCTTCGGGACCTCCTGAGGCCGTCTTGGAGCGATCTGGGAATCCTGGATCAGTCCGCGAGCGGTCCAGGGGCCTCCCGGGCCCGTCGGGCAGCGGCCCGGAGGCTCTCCGGGCGGCCCGCGAGCTCTCTGGGCGGCCCGGGGCGCTGCCACTGCTTGACCTTTTCGCAAGCGCTTCGCCCGGAAATGTAGTACAGACTAGGGCGAACCCGTGGACTTCGTAAAGGATCAGCAGGTTTCCCTGGCGCGCCTCCACATTGGGCCCCAGCCCAGGAAAACGTCACCCCGAAACCTTCGGTGACTCTTTCCGGCCGCCTTTCCGAAATTGGAAGGCGGGCGTTTCCTCCTCTTCGTCCGCCTTCCGCTTCACTCCGTCTGGAGCGTCACATACGGCTATGATGCGTCTGCGGCGTGCCTCTCCCCGCTTGTCTGCTCCCCCTGGCTTGAACAATGTTGAAAATACCTGGGGCCTTGAAAAAAGTCACCCGGAGGGCTCTGGTGACTTTTTTCTGGTTGCCTTTTCGAAGCCTGATGGCGGGCGCTGCCTTCTCCTTGGGGCCTCTTGGGGCCCTCGGGGTTTCTTTTCGGCTTCCTGGGGGCCTGTTGGGGCCCTCTTGGGCCGTCTTGCGGCCTCCTGGGGTCCTCTTGGGGCTCTCTTGGGGCCGTCTTGGGCGCCTGTGGGACCGTCTTGGACCATCTGGAGGCCCTCTTGGGCCATCTTTGGCCGCTCTTGGGGCTGTCTGGGCGCCACGGGAGCCGTCCTGGGGCCGTCTGGGGCCATCTTTTGAGAGCCCTTCGCTTTTGAGAGCCCCTGTGTGAAGGGCTGGTCACGGCACCGCTCGCTCTTGAGAGCTGTGCCTGGGAGAGCTCTCTACGCTGCGGCTCGCTCTTGGGAGACTTGGTGAGAAGAGCTTTGCACTTCACCGATGGCTCTTTCAATGGGCGTCTCTGGGCCTGCTTGGTGGCCCTTGTGGGGGTCTATTTCGAGCATTCTGAAGCTTTCTTGGGCTGCTCTGGGAGCGTTTTGGGACGTCTTGGGGCCATGTTGGGCCGTCACGGGGCGTCCGGGAGGCCTTGGACCGTCTTGGAGCTCTTTTGAGGCTGCCTGAGGCCGTCTTGGGAGCCTCTTGGGGCCCCCTCGGAGATCTCTTGGGGCCGTCTTGGGACTCTTGTGGGGCCGTTTCAGGGCTCTCTGGCGTCGTCTTGGGGCTCTTGTGGGCCGTCTTGGAGCCCTCTTAGGGGCCGCTGGCGTCTTCTTGGGGCGATTTTGAAGCCTCTTGGCGTGTCCTGGGCCACTGGGGAGCACACAAGGCGGGCCCTCTTGGGGCGTCTTTGCGGCCTCTTGGATCGTCGTGGAGCCCCCCCCCCCAGGAAAGCTTCGGGCCCTCGTGAGCCGTCTCGGGACACACTGAGGCTGTCTTGGAGCGCTCTTGGACGGTGTGGGACCCCTCTGGAGCGCCTCTGAGACCGGCTTGAGCGATTCGGCCCCGTAGTGGCGCCGTCAAGGGGCGATTTTGTGCACACGAGGCGTGAACCATTCTCGCACGCGCTTCCACTGGCCATGCAGGAGAGATGACGTTGGGCTCCAGCTTCGCCTCCAACATCTCACTGAACACTGACAGCGCGTGTTGCCACTGCCCGCCTTTTCTGCATGCGCCGACAGTCGCAACGTAGTGGCTTGGGACAAGTTGCACACCTAACCGAATTCCTTCGCGGAGCAACCGCAGTGCCGCGCTCCACTGAATTGTCTGACCGCAGTTCTTGATCGACGCTCCGAGGCACACGGCGCCTTCTCGAGACCCTCGACAGATGTCCCGCATCCGAAGAAGACAGGGCGCCGCGGCGTGAGCCAAACATACCTGCGGTGAACATGGCTGGAGCCAAAATGGCTGAGCACGGTGCGTTGGTTGGTTGGTTTGTCGGCGGGTCGCCCAGCCGCCCGCCCGCCCGCCTTCCCTCCAGCGCGCGCGCCCGCCCGCGCACCCGCCCGCCCGCCCGCCCGCCCGCCCGCCTGCCTGCGCGCCAGCGACGGTGACGGTGACGGTGACGGTGACGGTGACGGTGACGACGACGACGACGTTGGTTGGTTGGATGGTTGGTTGGTTGGTTGGTTGGTTGGTCGGTTGGTCGGCGGGTCGCCCAGCCGCCCGCCCGCGCGCCCGTCCAGCCGCGCTCCCGCGCGCGGCGAGCCCGCGTGTCAGCCGAGACGCCTGCCCGCGCGCCCGCCCGCCCGCGCGCCTGCGAGCGCGCGCCCGCTCGCCACGAGGACGACGGCGACGACGAGGACGCAAACAACGGTGACGGTGACGAAAACGACGACGACGACGACGACGACGAAGAAAACGACGACGACGACGACGACGACGAAGAAAACGACGACGAGAACAACGGCGAGGACGACAACGAGGAGGAGGACGACGACGGAAACGGCGACGAGGACCGCCATATACATTCGGAGTCCCTCGGGATCCAGGCAGTCCCAGCTGGTCTCAATCTCACCGAGCCCCCCGAGCAGTCCGAGCTGGCCTCGACAGACCCCCAGATTACACAGTCCCAGCTGGCCCAGGGGCGCTCCCATCACCCTGGCGCCGCCTCCAGCGGCGCCCCCCGGGCGCTCCGGGGCCCAGGGACGGGGCGTTGAGCCCACCCTGCGCTCCTCGGGAGGCCTCCTAAGGCCAGCTGGGACTGATTACATGGGGGGGCTGTCGAGGCCAGCTTGGGCTACCTGGGAGGTGTGCTGTACGCGCGCAGCCCGAAGCCTTACATGATGGAGGCCTCCCAGACGGGGTCCGCGTAGATGGGGAGGATCGCGCAGCCGCGGCGATGTATCCCCGATGCGTCGGCGACGTCGGCGGTGCATCGGCGACGCCAGCGTGGAACAAATCTGACTCCGCATCGAGCCGCGTAGCCGATGCGGAGCCAGATTTGTTCCACGCTGGCGCCCTCCAGCCTCCTCTGCCATGACCGCCTACATTACCACTCTTTTCGGCCATGTGACTTATTGGGCGTCGCTTAGTGGGGGAGCGATTGTCGGGGGGGGGAGAAAAAAAATACTCACAAACGCCCCCCAAATGCTCAAAAACATTAAAATAGTCGCCTCCAGACTATTTCTCGATTGTTTTTGAACATTCCCCCTGGGCGGAGGGTGCACTTTTCGTGCCCTGCAGGTCCCCTCACGGCCCCCGAAGGGGCCCCTTCAGGGCCCCCGAAGGGGCTCCTTCTTGCTGCAGCCCTCGCTTCCACCCGGCATGGATCGCCCCCTTTTTGTTTTCCGCCACGCCCACTCTTACTCTATGGTGTGCCTGTTTTCCACCACCACCACCCTAAGTAGGAGGGGGGAAGGGAGGAGGAGGAGGACGACGACGACGAGGAGAAGGAGGAGAAGGAGGAGGAGGACGAAAAGGAGGAGGAGGAGGAGGAGGAAGAGAAGGAGGAGGAGGAGGAGGAGGAGGACCCCCTCCCCCTCCAGCTTCTGGTGGTGGTGGTGGTAAACAGGCGCATCGCTCTGCATGTCGGCCTCCAGGGCCGCTCTCGGCACGGATGCGACGAGCGGGCTGCCCCCGCAGGGCGGGCGGGGGTGCGGGCACGAGGATCCGCTCTCTCGGGAGCGGCCAAGAGGGGGGTGTCCAAGAGGGGGGGGTGCAAATCATGACCGGCGGCATGTGCGCGGCCCAGCGGGGGGGCCAGGGACGTAATGAAATAAGAAAAGGCGCCATGAAATCTGGGGAAATATCATGGCCCACGCCATGATATCCACACACCCCTAATCATCACCCCCCTCTTTTCCGCCCCCGACTCTCCCGTCCCAGGACCGCCCGGCATGCCTCCGGGACCGACGAGCTGCCCCTGCGGGAAGGGGGTCTGGATGTCGGGGGCCACCTCGCAGGTGCGGATCATTACCAGCCTCGAACGTATCCCTACCCCTGAGATTGGCACGCCAAAAGGCGATGACAATCTTAGGGATTCGCCCTCAAAAAATAAGGGAATCCCTAAGACTGGCATCGTGATGAGGAGGTGCCCAGCATAGGGATAGGGATATGTTCCAGGCTGGTAAGATCAGAGTCAGCGGTCGGGCGCGGGGTGGGTCGCGGGCGGGTCGAGAGTGTGAGTCGCGGGCGCGTGTGTCGCGGGTGCGTCGAGGGGTGGCTCGCGGGGAGGGTCCGGGGCGAGTCGGGGGCGGGTCGCGGGGGGTCACCTCGCGCATCTGGCCGAGCATCGCCAAACTATGCTGAACTGATCGCCCTTGACGTACGCCCTGATCCCAGCGCTGTAACTGACGAGGTCGGGCTCCGACTTCACCTCCCACGTCTCGCTGAGCACCAAAAGAGCCTGCCGCCGTTGATTGCCCTTCTCGCCAGGCTGATCCCAGCGCTGCAATTGGTGATGGCATTGGGCTCAAGAACCGCCTCCCTCGTGTCGCTGAGCAGCGCCAGCGCCGGCTGCCACTGCTCGTCCTTTCCTGCACCCGATGATCCCAACGCTATAGTTCTGATACCGTCCGGATCCGAACACCGCCTCCCACA